GGGTTTGCTTACCTTCCGGAGCCGTGGTACTTGCTTAAGGTGCGTTACTCTTATTTTTCTTCTTCCATGGTTTTGTATTGAATTGTTTTATATTATTTTAAATAGTTTATTTCGAAAATAGCTGCTTAGTTTTCGATTATTTGTTGGGTTCATTTGATACTATTAATTTATTTATTTTATCTATTTCGAATTAGATTTTTATCTCTTTTAATTTTTTTTGTTTGTTATTTTTACTATGATTACTGGGTCTTGAATTGGTTCATAAATTGATTGATTCGATCCAGCCGGTGTTAATTTGATTGAGATGGACACAAGACGAAAAGTGGTGGGATACCGAAGACGAAAGTGTGACAGTTGTCATCAACTTGAACCTGAGCTGCCGGTTGGAGGATTACTGAATGACCGAAGGCGAAATCATCAAGTTTGATCGCGAGGCGGTCGATTTCCTCAGGAAAGCAGAGGCGGAGGATCCCTCCCGTGCGGAGATCCCCATACTAGTTACCATGGAGGTGCGCACGGTGCAGCCATGGTTCGCCGGAACGGAACAGTGCATTGTCGCGGACATTGCCGTTCCAATTCCGTTGCAACGTCGTGGCCGGAACGGACACATTTTAATTAAATTGCTAAAAAAATACAATATATTTCAAATATGTTTTTAATAACAACATTACAATTCAATAATATGCAAAATATTATTACGATTTCAAAAATAAATATTACAAAGAACATTATGAAAATACAAGCAATATTAATACAACATCCGTGATTGAGGGGAATCTCCATTCTCTAACGCGGCCACCACTATCTTATTATTTCATTTTTTTCCTTTTATGTTTTTTTCCCTTATTTTTTTTAGTCAAATTGTTTTTTTTTTATTTTTTTCAAAAAAAAATTCGTGTTCCGGCGTCGTTCCGGTGCCGTTGATTCCGTACTTCCTCAATATTGGATTCCCTAGAGCTGTGACGCATTGTAACATGCTGGACACCTTCCTCACGATTTTCGTGTTGGAGCCGCCGAGGAATAGGGTTGAGGATGTTGACAAGGGTTTGTTGATGATGGAGGTGTGTGGGATATGTACGCGGGCTCCGACAATCGGAGCGCAGATAACGGTGCTACCGCGGTGCAGTCATTCGTTTCATTCACATTGCATTGCTCGCCACCTGTTGGCCGACAACGACATCAAAACCAAGTTGTGCCCTTGTTGCAGATCTGTAGTCTATTATCCTAAAATGTCTTTCTATTTTTTTCTGATAATACTTGAGACTATGATTATTGGATCTGTTTTGCACTTTGACTTCCGAACAAATTTGTTTTGCACGTTTCGATATTTTAGTTTCAAGAAGAGTATTGATCATTTGAGTTTATAAACAAAGTTAAAGGAGTATTTATAACGTTTAAGCGTACATTTAATTAAATTCCTGCAAGTGTTGGGACCAAAAATGTTAAATGTACAAAGTTATTGCATGTAAAATTTAAATATGACAATTTAGAGGACTAAATCTTTAAGTAAGCCAAGATAGAGGACCAAAATTACAACTTCCATTTTCAAATTTACAGAACCTCATATGAAACAAATTACAATTTATATGGCTACATACTTTTATCTCACATCCAATAATATATCATCTCAATAACTATCTGCATGAAAAATTTGCCGGTGATCGAAGTTTTCCGACATTTTTCCATCAATACAAAACATACTAATGCCGATTTAATCACCATGTTTCGGCTCAACGGCTTACAAACATTCGTTCGATTCATAAAACTCCAAGCGTTTGATTTTAGAAAGTACCGGTTTTCAATCATACTCTCTCGATGGCTTCCACCTTCATAACCATAACAATCCTCCGTATTATAACTACTACAAAATAAGGACCTACCGGAATATTCTTGATCGACTTTTTTCCGTTCGATTTTCTTCTTCTCTTCTTCTACGTTTTTCTTCTTCTTCATCGGCTAATAAATGGGGTGGTACCTCCTATTCCATCTGTTCCCATTCATTTATATCGAAGCCTACTTCAAGATAGTTAGCTCCGGACATGGCTAGTGCTTCTAACGAAACCGACATTTTTTTTTGGCAAAAAATAGAAAAGGGCTTAAAATTCTGCAATGCAAGAAAAAGTAATTTTTGAATAAAAAGGGATTTTTTTTCTTATAACAAATGATGTTATACCAAAATTTAAAATTTGTTTGAATGTATGGAATAGGGTGGCAAGGGTGCAATATATATATATATAGATACAAGTTGGCAAATCATTATCAACTTTGATTTAATTTGGATAGAAAAGATTTTAATTAGCAAAATATTCATGTGACGGTCAACGTGTTGACTATGTTTTCTTCCATTGACATGATGCAAAGTTTGTAGAATTCAAGTACAAATTTGCGTTGATTGGACGCTATAAAAGCAGTCAATTGAAGAACGTGTGTTATTTATTAGAAGAAGCAAAGAAAATAAAGAATGGAAGTATATATAGCTAAGGTTAAATAACTAAATTTAATTTATTACTTGATGGTCAATTGCATTATGTTCTACAAGGTCACGAGTACAATATGCAGCAATTAAAAAAGTAAAAGACAAATACGAAAATAACATGTGAAATAAATTGGTACTATGGAAGATTAACCAGAGAAATTTCAACTTATATATGTTGAACAAGACTGTCAGTATACATTCTAGAGAGAGGGGGGTCACGGGAAATTTGCTAACATTTAATGTTTTTTGATAAAATTATAGGGTAAATTACGGTCACTCCTGAGATAAATTTAAATTACGAAAAAAAAATTCCTCTTGTTTGGGTAATTACAAGCAATTCCCTCAATTATGAATCTTTTAAGACGTTCACCCTTATCGTGTTAAATTCGACAGAATCTTCTAGATTTCGTGGAACGTTCTCTAGTTGGTACTCGTTTTGATGCACCGGCCACAATATGATATTTACAAGACAAGA